TGGCATTAGTTTCCTAAACCATCCAAGCAAGGTGCTGTTACTAGTGGCATTAGTTTCCTAAACCATCCAAGCAAGGTGCTGTTACTAGTGGCATTAGTTTCCTAAACCATCCAAGCAAGGTGCTGTTACTAGTTGATCAGTTTCCTAAACATCCAAGCCAATAGGATTTCATGTTGTATCTACAGAAATATTGAGATTATAATTTCATTGGTTAGGTCACTTTTGGAGTACCGTGTTCAGTCTTAAGTTTGTTATCTTAGATAGGACATTAAATTATTAGAAAAAGTTCAGGGGAGGAAAATGATACATGGCATAGAAAGGATGTCGTTTGAGGTAAGGAAAATTGTTTTGAGTGTTTTATTTTAATTTTAAAATTTAGTTTAGGAAATGGGATGGCCTAGATAGAGCCACGAGTCCCTTGTTATCTTTAAATTATATGTACAAAATTCCCATGTGTGTTCCTCTGAACTGGCAGTATGGATAAGAGTTTAATTTGGACTTCTGGGTTTCAGCACATATTCATAATGTACACAAATAATATTCATTAAGTACTTTTTTTTTTAAAGACGTGTGATCATTCGAGATATTATAATCTCGAGGAATACAATAAAACGATTTAAGATGCATTTTATTTATACGAGCAATAGGAAGACCACATTGTTCTGCTAGAAATGTTTCCTTTTATTTTTTCTTTAAATTAATTCTGATATTAAATGTGTTTTACAAAACTCCTAAAATGTGTAGTCTGATAAAAGTTTTCTTCGTTTACTACCAATCATTGGTAGCAGATAACAAAGTACAGAAAGCTTACCAATAGATTAGTATTATTTAAAACCTTGCTTTAAGGATTATTTTTTATTTAGAGGTTTTTAAATTTTTCGTGAGGAACACAATTTATAAATCCATAATAAAGACCAGACTGTTATTTCAAAGTTTACGTTATTAAAAAAATTATAAGAGTGAAAACTTATTTTGTTATCTTAAAAATATAATTTTTTTTTAAATGAGATTTTTGTAAGTATTGATTAATTTACTGTAAATAATATACTTTTGGAATAGTTTATCCAGCAATGGTAGAGACTTCGTGTTACGATCGCCAAGGAGATGTTATTCGTCATGGTGACAGGTATTTTCCAATGGAAAGTGACCCCTGTACGCAGTGTACTTGTACGAAAGGAATGCCAGAAATGTGCATCTCTGTGTTCTGCTATCCACCAGAAAACTGCCAAAAATATCATGCTGAAGATGATAAGTGTTGCCAGTTTGTATGTGATGATGAAAGTTTGGCCCATTTTCCTGGCTATGGTAAAAACAACAGTTATCCTGCTGATAATGGTGAATATAATCTCCTTAATTTTGTGTGTATGTAAATAAATGTTTATCACTTGTAGTACACAGATCATTATTAATCAAATAAATGATTATTTTGCTGTTGACTAGATACTATGAAGATGCTTCAACTTGACAGTTGAAACTGTACAATATTATATAGCCTTGTCAGCCTGGTGACACCTAGATAGTTAAAGTTATATCCTTGCTGTGTCTTGGTAAGATTAGAGAGGGGTCAGGGCTTTTGAACTCTGATTTTAAGTGATATAAGAGGATGAGAATTGTGACACATTCCTCTAGGACAGGATGCCTGTCTGTTGCAGGTTAACTTCCATCATACAGCTGAGTAGACTAGAACAAAGACACAACAGCATATTGCAAGCCAGCCTCAAACATGAAACCATCCGGCTGCGAGTCCAAGAGGAAAAGCAACTGAGCCATGCTGCCCCCGATACCTATATAACTGATATAATAATGTAGAATCTCTTGTTGACCTTACTGTTCTAAAATAATTTTCTATTTTGTTAGAAACTCA